GCTACTTTTGAATTCAATATTATTGACTTCCTGGATAATATGTTGAATCTCAATAATGAGCTTGTTGCAACTGTTTCTTCTTCTTTGTCTTTCAACATGTATCTTCATATCCTTTTTTCTCTACCTGTCTAAGAAGTATTTGTTTGGAATTGTGTTGATTTTTTTTAATGACTATTTTCAAGATATGAGAGTAGAGTATCCCATCTTTGCTGAATTTTGCACATATGCAGGTAAATTCTTCTTCGCCTTCTGTTAGGTCAATGTTTACTGTATATCTCATGAACTTATGAACCTCCAAAATCTGGTTACTTTTTTGCCACACCTCAAATGTTTTCCCATCTTTGGTTTCCCTGTAGTTCAGCCTTGATGTTGCCTTCAGTTGTAGCTAAAACTTTTTGAATATGTTTATGTTGTATAACTGTTGTGCCTGCTGCTCTATTCAATAGCCTAATATAAATTTCTTTGGCCTTTTCTGCTTGCTATAGTTGTCCTTCAGCCTTTCTGCTCGATTTATGGTATCAACAATCCGATTGTACTCCTTTAGAAAGCTAATGATACTATAGGTTGGCCCTACATTGTCTTTGAACCTCGCATTTGTTGCCTCACTTCTGGATGTGGTCTGTATGAAAGGGAAGAAGTCATTTTTATAGTAGACCGGGATAAATCTTTTCCTCATTTCCCACATTTTGGAAAAGTAATGATTCCCTCGAAAGTTTCTTTCCTCAATCATTCTCTTCTAAGTCTTCCACTGTTAGACTATTGTTCACTATATCTTCGAAGTCTTCATATAGTCCTTTGTTTGCTGCAAAGACCTTGATATTCTTATTGTGGCATTTGGTCTTTATGTGGAACAAGCAATTTCTGTGCTTTATGTTTATGAAGACTTGCTCTATTGCTAATTTCATCGCCATGTCTTGGTCTATGATGATTGTTTGAGGGTGTTTTCCTCCCATTGCTTCAAAGAAAGTTTGAAATACCCACTTAAAAGTGTCCACTGTCTCATCATGCAGGAAAGCACATCCGAAAAGGCAACTTTGCCCATGTTCTGTGATTCCAACAAATAGTGCAAAAGGTAAGTTATATCGGTTGGTCATATATGTCGTGTCAAAACTTACACATTCTCCATAATCTGCATAATATTTCATAGAAGAGCAGTCTAATCCAGAATAAGCTTCTCACTCTCTTGTCCTCATCTAAATTAAACTTGTAAAAAAAAGATGGATCCTCAGTTTATTTCTTTCTGAAATAATCTAGTACTTGTATCATATCTGATCCTTTAACTTCTCTGTTCAGCTTTGTCCTGTAGTTGCTGATATCTTTCTTTTTCATCGGTAGAGCTGTAAGCCCCCCTCTCAGATACGATAAAATAGAAACCATCTTCCTAGTTGGGATATTGTTATCGTTCAGAGTCTTGATAAGTCCTTTTTCTATTTCTGTCATATACTTGTAACCAGAAAATAGCTGATCCCTGTCTCCGGGCATAGCTCATGATTATGCTCCAAATCAAGAGTTTTAATCTTCCATATACCTCCTTCTTTCACCATCATAACACAAGGACAATCTAACTTCTGCTGAACATTTGTTTTCCTTCTCCTTACCGGTTTCTTTCCAACATCCTTGTCTACTTTAGCTTCTTCTTGCTCTAAAGACTTTGGTTCCTTTTTTTTCCTTGACGAGTGCATCTCATTGTCACTTTGACTACCTCATTATTTCTCTTCTTACTTTGAGTTCTTGTCGTATGTGTTATGGCAACTTAAAATCCGGCTAGGAACGCATAGAAGTTGAAGAAATGGTGAACATCATCCTTAGTCTTAAATTCCATCGATAGCTGTGGGGTGTACTTGTTGTTGATTGGTGCATTGTTGCCTTCAGATGCTGCAACCTGCTCATTTTTTATGAATTTTTCAATCTCTTCCTCCGTCAGCTCCTGGCTGCCATTTACATGCTCGTTATCATCTGTTATAGCTGATGTAATATCTGAACTTGTTGGTTCTATTGCTATGATCCTCAAGTCATTTTCTCCCATTGTTGGTTGATCATCTTGATTTTCATGCTGCACCTGTAAATATATTAGCAGCAGTCTTAGTTTCTGAGTAATGTCATTTATAATACAAATAATATTTTTTTCAGTGTGGACTGAAATAGTTGAAGAGATCATTTTTATGTATCTCATCAATGTCCATGTTATTGAATACATCAGTTTGTCAATGGTATTGTTGAATTTTAGATCTATCATCGTCAGCTATGCTTGTCATTGCTCCATCATCATCAGTGGCGATTGTTATTTCTCCATCCTGTTTTTGCAAAGATAAGTTTTACTTTGATGCCAGTACATATTTATATTGCTTATAAATGTAATTAAATTGGCTCAGCTGTCTGTATCTACCTCATATGACAACCTTGACTCTAATATTGATCAGTCAGTTTGTGGTCCAAAGATTTTTTCCAGATCTTCAAGTCTCATATTTTGTTTTATTTGTTTGATAATGAGAATACTTACTATTTATAATATAACACAACTAGTTTGACAAGCATATATAATATAGTTTTACCTCATTCCTGTCATTTTCAAGTATCATCTTTGTTAATGATCCTTGCATCTCTTCATGTTGCTGCACAGTTTATAATGAAGCATTGAAATTAAAGTACTGTTATGCTGAAATTACATTGCACATATGTGTGTAATTTGCATATGTCTGAATTGTAATTTTTGTATACTGGTATTATAAATTTTACCTGCGTATTCCAGTCAGTTTGATTATCTTCCTAAGAGTTCCTGATCTGTTCCATCATAAGTTCAGTGTAACATTCCTGTATTGAAATATATTTTAGTCGAAAAACAATCTTCTTATGTTGACATTTTTTTATTCTAAGCAATGATTTTGCTCACCTTTTTGTATCTGTAGGTATTTGAAAGGTCACTAGAACAATTTGTGCCTACAAATATTTGGTAAGGAGCTTACTGCACTTTCTTAATTGCTTCTTGTGAGTTCATTGATGTTGGATAATCATCATATCTACTTGTTGTGACATACATATTATTCTGCTTCATAAAAAAAAAGCAAGCAGCTGAGTACTTATATAGCTTTTTATCAGATTCTTCTTTTTTTATTGCATCATTGAATTGTGTTTCTTACCTTAAGTAGCTGATCAAACTTGACTGGTGCTTGTATTAGTTGCATAAGGGAAGCAATTGAAACCTGCAAGAAAATAAAGAAGCCATTAGTTCTCATTTATTTATTGTTTGTGTCAACTGTTTTGAATTAGGAGTAATTTTACATCATTGTTACTTTCTTCTTGGCGAATCATTTCCTCATAATTCTAAATCTGATATTATGTCTCTGACATTTTCTGCTGTCTTGTTCTTCTTTCTAGATTCATGTTCTGTTATAACATCCATATTTCATGTTTTGATAGTTAAAAGTTTTCTCATCATTACATATTCCATGCATCTAACACACACAAGGAGATTGGATTCAAATGGTCGGTGTACTAACCTTGGCTGTTGAGGTTTGTGGTTCCTCTTCGATCTGATTTCTGCCCTTTTGCCCTGCTTTGCGTGTACAAGTTGCATGAGCCCGATCTTTAAATTATATACATATACAGTATAATTGCATTAGTAGCAAGTACAAGTAGCACTATGTGAAATATGTAATTTTCTTATTTTGTTCTGTAATTTATTTACAATAGAAATATAGCAAATGCATAACAGATATATTTGTAATTTTAGTTGAGGATTGCTGAGTGGTGTGGCTGCAGGATTACTTTTAGAAAATTGGTATAGAAAATTCGATTTGTGTATGTATGTGTGATTTATGCTAGCTACATGTGTGTGTGATCTCATGCTCTCTGTTTTTTGCACTATGCTCTCTGTGTTTCTAGCCTTTTAGACCACATCACAACCCCTAAGTGCAGGATCTGCTCCTTATGCACAGTGAGCAACCAGGGCCACGCTCTGCTGTTGTAGCAAGCACAAGTAGGAGGTTATCTTTACCATCCTGAATGTCTTTTCCATGGATCTACATTCTCTTAGTATTTGATCTGAGTTGCTATTGTTTTTTATTACTTTTTTAGAAAGTAGATTCAAAAGATTGGGATACTAACCTTTGCTGATGAGGTATGGATCACTCTTGTAGTGTTTTTTCTTAAAATTTTCTATTTTTCTTTGCAATCTGTTGTCTGCCCCTTTCCCCTGCTCTGCGTGAGCAGGGCAGATGCTTTCTCCACGCAGCAGATCTGTTTTTGTTTTGCTTTTCTCCCAAGTCTATCTGCTATATTGCTATGTATTCATAGTTTTGTGCTTCTCTTATAGGCGGCTATTGTTTAATGGGCTATTTTGTCATTTTAGTTAATGTGCTCTTGAGTTGCACAGAAATTACAATAGATTTTTTTCTACGTGTGCCTTCTTTAAAAATCCATTGTTTTAGAGGCCACCAACAAACATGTGCTAGCTTTAAAACACACATTTTCTTCTCTGTTGGAAATTATGTGTTATGCAGGCAACCAACAATCATGTGCTAGCTTGTGCTAAAGCACATGGTTTTTCCTCCGTTACAAATCGTGTGTTTTACAACCAACAAACAACCTTGTGTTATTTTTTGCTGAAACACATGGTTGTTGGGTAGACAGATTCTTTTTTTGTCCTCCACTATTTAAATTGGGGATACGTAGCGTGTTTAAGCAGTCTCTAGTGCCCTGTTTGCTTGGCTGATAAGGCATGACTGAAAGTACTGTTGGCTGATTTGTTGTGAGAAAAAATATTGTTTGTTCACTGAAAAAGTATGACTTATAAATCAAACAAACAGGACGTAGACCTCTAGAGATGCTCTGAAAGATAAAAGTGACAAAAAAAAAAGGTCTCATCCTTTTTTATTTTTGATTGATTGATTGAAGGAGCCACCGTAATAAGGGGGAAAATGTTAAATATCTCGGCCGAATTGGTCCCAGCAAAACGCCCCCCGTCTCCGCACATTACAGCACGGCCACACCAACGCAACGACATGGACACCGCCGCCGCCTCACTCTTGCCCCCCGCCGCCGCGAAGCCCCGAGGCGTCCTCTCTCCTCTCCACGTTTCCCGAAGCGGCCTGGTACCCCGTCAGCGCTCCCTCCTCGCCGTTCGCTGTGCCCACTTCCGTGCCCCTCCTCCACCTCCGCCTCTCCCGCGCGCCGATTCCGATGATGCTGCCGCCAAGGCGCACCCGCGCCTCCGTCTCCGCCTGCTTGCCGAGGAGTTCCGCGCACTCCCATCTGACGCAGACCGCGCGCGCCGGCTCCTTTCCCTCGCGGCTGCGCTCCCGAGGCTCCCGGAGCCCGACCGCGCCCAGGGCAACCGCGTCATGGGCTGCGTCGCGCGGGTGTGGCTCGTCGCCCGCTGCAACGCGGCAACGGGCTGGCGGATGCGGTTCGCGGCGGACTCCGACTCTGACCTCTCGCGTGGGTACTGCGCCTGCCTCGTCGCCGCACTGGACGGGGCCAAGCCTGAGGACGTCCTCGCCGTCGACCCCGCCGATCCCGACCTCGCCCCGCTCGGGGCGGGGATAACGGCGGCCCGGTCGCGGGCCAGCACGTGGCACAACGTGCTTGTCGGCATGCAGAAGCGGGCGCGCACGGCCATCGCGGCGCGCGAGGGTAGGCACCCCGGGAAGCCGTTTCCGTCGCTCGTCATCGCCCGCGACGGCGCCGTCCGCGCGCAGGGCAGCTACGCCGAGGCGCAGGTGAGCTCCTTTACCCGATCCTCATGCTCCGTTGATTTATCCGGTTGGTTAGTTGGCTACATGAATGTTCGTGGCACTTTTTTTTTTTTTTTTTGGATACATGTTCGTGGCACTGTTGGTCTCGAGCGACTTGCTACATGAATGTTCGTGGCACTATTGGTCTAATGAATGAAAAGACGTGTCTTGTCTCAACAAGTGGGGAATTACTAGTATAATAATAATAGCTCGATGTTTACACAATGTCTGAAGAAGTTGTGCTTTTCCTTAGGTAGATTCGACGTGAAGAATCTGCCAAGGATGGGGCTCCATTTCCCTTTTTCCACTAAAGTTAGCAACACCGAATAAAAGATATCTTTTCTATTAGCTCATGCATTTTTTCCTTTTTTTGATCGATCAGAAAGGAGCTGACTCTGGTCAGCCTGTGCGTAGGGAATGGACCAGCTAGTGTCAACATCAGCCTTATTTTGCCACTTTGTGTGGTCATATTAGCATCTTACTTACATGGGAATAACATTTACTAAAAAGATTGCACTCAACCTTTTCCACAAAGGTTTTCCCATTTTATATATTTTTTTTGCCATGGAACTTAAGGGAACTTTGTGTGGTGTCTCTACAACTGTAAATGTCGAAAATGAAGATTAGTTGCTTCTGAGTAGGCTCTATGAATTTACCACGATTGAATGATTACTCTAGCATTGTAAAAGACTAATAATCATATAGTTGTGAAAAAAATCAGATGAGAGCCGTAAAAATCATCATATCATTGATCCACAACAACTTTTCAAAATACCCATAACCTATCTAGTTCAATTGTCCTGTTACTGTTGCTGTTTTTAACACCATCGTACCCTCATCTATTGCAGCTCTCCTCATACTTGTCCCAATTCCCAACCGAATAAAAAAAATAGACTTTGTGATATGAGTCATGTCCCCTCTAGCCTATTATAGTTGGTATTGCCCATTATTGGAGCTGCCTGTAGGATGAATACAGGAATGACGATAAATAAGCAGCTGGGCGATAGTTAGTCATCATAATCCACACAAGAAGTAAATATTCTAGTGTCTCAAGGGGATCAGTTGCAGCATTGTAATGTTGGATTCTAGTGTCTCAAGGGGATCAGTTGCAGCATTGTAATGTTGGATTCTTAAAGAGCTGTGAAGCTTATTAGATGGCTCCATCCTTCCCCAATATTGTTGATGGTGTATTCAAATTAGTGGAACTTAGAGATTAGTGGTAGCGTTGATGCTCAGTGGAACTGCAAAGATATGATTTCTTGCTTGACAACATCATGTGGCTTGAGACATCACATTCACTAGTCACCTATGTACCAACGTTTCCACTAAAGGACGTTACTTATAAAAAAAGGAAATTTGGTTGTCAATCTGACAAAAAATGACAGCTTAAATTAGCTTGAACGTATCATTTTACTGTAAGTCTTCATATTGATTTCTGCATGAAGCAACTCACTACAATTTAATGTTTAATTGCAGGCGATGTTTTTATCTCCTGACGAGTCCAAGATTTCAGGCCTTGTGAATACCCTTAAAGAGAAAAAAATTGGGGTTGTTGCACACTTTTATATGGATCCTGAGGTGCAAGGCATACTTACTGCTGCAAAGAAGCAGTGGCCCCACATCCAAATATCTGATTCCTTGATTATGGCAGATAGTGCTGTTAAAATGGCTGAAGCAGGATGTGACTATATTACAGTTCTAGGTGTTGACTTCATGTCAGAAAATGTTCGGGCAATACTTGATCAAGAAGGATTTAATAAGGTATTTTTTTAATTAATGTTTCCAGAAGTCTAATTGTCATGTCATTTGTCACTAAGAGCATACTGTGAGAATCAAGCTAAAATAAAATGAGTAGGTTTATATATACACTTGTATAATTTTTTTTTCTTGAAAACTATACACTTGTATCATGTTACTACGTTAGTGAAATAGTGAAGTAACATCATTTGGGAGCGTTGTTATGAGCTTATTCTCTTTCTAGTTCAGGCTCCACTTTTATACACTAGCCTGGAGTGGCAGTTCGTATGAATACCAGAACGATCCTAGTCAGATCCAGTTTATCTGTTGTGTTAGCATGTATATCATTTGCGGACTAGCACTTTCTGAACTTTGAGCTTACTGTGGATGTGATTATGCAAAATACAGAGAAAGTTGTAGTAAAAGAAGATTTTTAACCATAATCAGACTATCGAAGCAGAACAAATGACCGACTGTTGCCATACTTGCATTGGTTAAGGTAGTAAGTGATATCTTGGTTATATGATGTTTAAATAAGTCTGACCAAAATAGTTGTCAACTTCAGCATATCATGTCATTCTTTGTTGTTTTCACATGGATATATATCACCCACAACCTAAGGGTATGTTTGGATACCGTGGGCTAATTGTTAGCTAGCTAATTTTAGCTCAAATTAGCTGTAGTGCATCCAAACAAGAGGGCTAATAGGTGGAAATTTTTAGCCAAGTCTCCAACTAGCTGTTAGCCAACTAGCTCCTAGTCAACTCTAGCTAATTTGGGCTAATTTTTAGCCCAACTAGTAACTAGCCATGTGTATGCAAACATGCCCTAATGGTGTGTTTGTTTGGGGGCAAAGTTGGATGGGGTTTGGCCATCCATGGATTTTAGGATGGGCTTATCCATACCGCCTGTTTGGTTTGATGTATGGCGAGCTATTTTTCTGTTTGGTCAGATGGATGAGAGTGGATGGAATGACAATAGTTGACTAATCATATCTATTATTTAATAATAATAACAACTAATTATACACTAATAAATATGCACTAACACTAACTTTGTCATGATAATCACTAATTATAGATAAAATATGTTAATTAGCACTTCTACTACCTTAATTGGCACACAAAACATGCACTAATCAACATATTAGCACTTATCAAAACTAATCTTGTCATCAGAATTATTACTCCCTCCATCCCAGTATATACGGCATAACCACCTCTAGTTCAAAGACCAAGGAGTGTATTTAATTTTCTCTCTCTCAACACTAGTACTACTGTCATGTGGGGCGGCAGTACAGCCAGGGGAGCTCCCAAGGGCGTGCAAGAGCCCAAAGAGGCACAGGCGGCTGTAATCAATAGCAATTAGTAGATGGTTGGGGATTAGTAGTTATGGCTGCAACAATAGAGGCGCATGCAGCTGCCAGGAGCGCATCAATAGAGGTGTATGCGGCTGTAATCAATGAGAATTTGTAGTGTGGTTGAGCGATTGGAGTTAATGATGGGGAGAGAAACGAGGAGCTAGAGGCTGGGCGCCTAGGGGCTGGGCTCCTCTATTTATATTTATACCCTGTAACTAGTTGAGATTGAATCAAGCAATGAACAACAAACAATCTAGTTACCCCCAAATATTCTAGTCTCCCTCCACACCGACTTTGCCCGGCCTTCCTCTTGGCAATGGTTATCCTCCCTACACCCGATATGAACTAAGGTTCATAGCAACTACTGCATCCATGTACGCATGTCTAGAGAGAGCACCGCTTGTATTATGGGACTTGAATAAAAAGTGGTTGCACTTATATATATTAGGATAGAGGGAGTAAGTAATAATATAATATACTAATAATCCTTAATTTATTTACAGATGACAAAGATTAGAAAATATGGATGAGCTCATCCGCCAGTTTTTTGGTGGCCATTGTATCCGGCATCTAGTAGGGATATTTGTTGTAGTGGATATCCATGTCTAACCAATCTATCAAACCAAACACCACCTATCCATGGATGACCATCTCCCATCCATGGATATCCATCCAACCAAACACACCCCTAATGGCTCCGTAACTCCGCAACATGCAGGCACTAATTCTTGGTGGATTTATGCAGGTTGTCGTTTATAGAATGTCTAGTGAACCGATTGGCTGTTCATTAGCAGATGCTGCTTCAAGTTGTGAATATACTCATTTTTTGAGGGAAGCTTCGAGATGTTATCCGTCTTTGCATGTTATTTACATTAATACTTCGCTGGAAACAAAAGCTCATGCTCATGAACTTGTTCCTACAATAACTTGCACCTCTTCTAATGTTGTTCCAACTATATTACAGGTACATGTTTTGCTTCTGAGAATTATATGAGTGGACATTTTATTTGTATTTCATTTTTATTTTACTTATACTGTAATCAAGCTTTTTAACTTTGTATGTTTTAGGCATTTGCCCAAATACCAGATCTTAATGTCTGGTATGGTCCTGATTCATATATGGGTGCAAACATAGCAGATTTATTTCAAAGAATGGCTACAATGTCAGATGAAGAAATTGCAAAAATTCATCCAGACCACAACAGAAAATCTATAAGTTCATTACTGCCACATCTACACTATTACCAGGTTGCGTGATTTTGTTCCTCACCTATGCTTTAGGAAGTTTACTCCCAGTCATTTTTATTCAAGTATGGATGCTGCGATCTCAATTCGAATGAATTTTGAAGAGCTAAGCTTTCCGTCTCATTTTCTTTATTTTCTATAAAGCATATTTTGTTTCTCAATTTGTCTTCCATTTTTATTTCTATAATTGTTAAAATTACAAAGATCAGATTTCTTCACAAAACACCAGTTTTTAGATTGATATGTATATTTCTGAAAGAAGTGTTTCGGATATTCACTTGTTTATCTTTAATTTATAACCAAACATTGATTGTTGTGTTTAATATCTATATCCCTACACAATACACCAATTGCATTCTTTGCTATATCCATCCAATAATGTGTCCCAAACCAAACCTTATGTAAACTTTCCTATATTTTGTCAAGGGCGTCGGGGCTAAGGCAGCAGGACCTCGGCTACGGAGCTCGTAGTCTCGGTCGGTAGTGGGGCGAGGTTTTTCCCCTCGGCTGATGTTGAAGAAGGGAGATTAGGAGTGGAGATAGTTTTTATTGCTTCACCTGATGGAGTCTCATGCAAGATGTAAATAGGCCCTTGGCCACAAGCAAACTAGAGATGGAAATCTCCTGAACTCAAGGCATGGCTGATAGCCTGCCTAACCAAACGCCGTGGTCCCGTTCCCTAGGCGCGGTGATCGCGCATGCCTACGTCGCGCACTCCTTGCCGCATCCCTAGCGTTGGCCCTACGTGTGTACTGCTTGGCCCACATGGCATATTTGCTATGCTCACCCAATTTTTGGTGTTAAGTATATGAACACCCATCTAATATAGGCCTATATGGCCCACGAGGCTCTCTATATATAGTCATCTCCACTACTGGAGTTATTACCTTCTTAATGTTGGCCAGGTAAGACACTTAGAGTGGGGAATTTGGTTCTGCCAGAGGGCAGCTTGGCCATAGGCCGCTTATTCTCATTATATAGAGAAAGCAAACTTGGTTTACAAGGAATAGTTCAACTGCTACAGCATATTCTACTGCATAAAGTAGATGCTTACTTAGATGCCAAGACAACTAGCTGATAACAGCATTACTAGGAATAGTAAATAGCTAAAGTAGATAACTAGATACATTAGAGAGTAGCACTAGGCTTAACTCTCATTTCTCCCCCTAAGCCTTGTGCTCAGCCCTGGCTTCAGCCCAATCCTCTCTCATCTCTTGGAACTTGGCCTTGCCCAGTGACTTGGTGAGGATATCAGCCAGCTGATCAGTAGTGGCAATGTGGTTGGCCTTGATGCTTCCATCTTCCAGGCAGCTTCTGATGAAGTGATACTTGATCCTGATGTGCTTGCTCCTCTCATGGAAAACTGGATTCTTGGCCAGAGCTAGAGCAGACTTGCTGGCCTCCTTTAGCTCAACCACCTCGACATGCCTGCCGAGAAGCTGTCCCAGTAGCCTTGACAGCCACAATGCTTGGGTTGCTGCAGTGGTGGTGGCGATGTACTCGGCTTCACAGCTTGATAGAGCCACCACCTTTTGCTTGAGGGATTGCCAGCTGACCAAGCAATTGCCGAGGAAGAACATGGTTCCGTTCATCCTCTTGCTTGTGTCGATGTCGTTGACGAGGTCACTGTCGCAGTAGCCGACAAAGCGCGCCGTGCCGGGAGCCTTGGTGTACTATAGACCATAGTCGAGGGTGCCCACCACGTACTGAAGGATGCGCTTGACCACCTGCTGATGCTCCATCGTGGGCCGCTCCATGAATTGGCTCACGAACCCGACAGCGAATGCCATGTCCGGCCGGGTGTGCACCAGGTAGCGCAGACTGCCAATGAGCCGCCGGTAGTGCGTAGGATTGACCTCCTCCGCCGTGCTGTACCGACTGAGCCTCAGCCGCTCCATTGGAGTGTAGGCATCCAGACAGTCCTCGTCGTCCTCCAGTGGGCGTAGCGTACTCGACTTGAGGTTGATCGCCATGTGCCGATGCTGCTGGTGAAGTAGCTGCCGGGGATGCCGGTGGTGGCTGGCTGGCTGTGGCGTTGGAGGAGTGTGCCCCCTGCTGCCGATGTGCCTCCAGGCTCCCCCGGATTTGGTGACGGCGAGCGCGGCGCTGGTGGTGGTGTAGGTGACGCTGGTGATGAAGGTCCAACCGCCACCAGAGATGCACTCTGTGCTCCCCCCGCTCCTTCAGGCCACCAGTACTCGACGGTGAAATCACTTGCTGTCGATGCCAAGCCACCAGGATCTGGCTTGGACCGGTCCTAGCCACGGCCTTCGTCGAAGACGGCATCGCACGCCACCTTCATGCGCTGAGTCACCGGGTCGAGAATGCGGTAGGCCTTCGCTCCCTCTGCATACCTGATGAAGACGCCGGGCTTGCTGCGATCGTCGAGCTTACCCAACTGGTTCAGCTCCTTGGCGTAGGCGAGGCAGCCTAACGTCTTCAAGTGCCCGACAGTGCCCGACCGTCGGCGTGCGCCCTTTCCAGGCCTCGTAGGGGGTCTTGCCTTGCAAGCTTCTGGTCGATGAGCGATTGAGCAGTTGAACTGCCGTCATCACCGCCTTCCCTCGTTACAAGGCCGGCATCCCTCTCTGCTTTAGCATCTACCGGGCCATGATGTCCACGGCCTGATTCCGGCACTCGACAATGCCGTTCTGCTGTGGCGAGTAGGGGGGCCGAGAAGTGGCGTTGAATGCCCTCGTCTGCGTAGTAGGCAACGAACTCGGCAATGGTGAACTTCCCGCCGTTGTCGGTGCGCAGCACCCGGAGCTTGTGGCCGCTCTCCTCCGCCGCAGCCTGTACTTGCTTGATTGCGCCCATGGCAGCTCCCTTGGACAGCAGCAGGACAGCCCACATGAAGCGGAACGCGTCGTCCACCAGTAGAAGGAAGTAGCGCCCCCCGCCTGGAGTCGCCGGCGTCACGGGTCCGCACAGGTCGTTGTGAACGAGCTCGAGCTGCTCTTGCGCGTGGTACATGGCTTGCCGAGGGAAAGGGCGCCTCCTCTGCTTCGTGGTGATGTAGGTGTCGCAGAGCTGCTCGACGTGGTTGATCACTAGCATCCCGCGTACCATGGCCTCCTTGCCGAGCTTGTGCAGGGCCTCGAAGTGATGGTGACCAAACCGCTCATGCCAGCGCCAGGCTTCATCGTCTCGCAGTGAGGCAGAGTGGTTGGGCCGCCTCAAGGTGAAGAACGTAGAGGCGGCTTGGGCCGCGACGGACCTTGACAAGAAGCCGCTTGCGCCGATCCCAAATCCGGAGTACCCGCTTGTCGATCTCCACCTTGGACCCGCCTTCATCCAGCTGGCCGAGACTTATGATGGAGTTGCGCTGCGCGGGGATGTAGATGTCGTGCAGTATGCGGTGCTTGTTGGTCTTGCCTTCGAAGACGATCGAGCCGACGCCTTGGATCTCCACCCTTGACGCGTCACTGAACCTCACCGATCCACGAACGCTAGTGTCGAGGTTGAAGAAGATCTCGCGACGGCTGGTCATGTGGTGGGTGGGACCGCTGTCGAGGTACCACCCGTCGAGCTTGTCCTCGCCGGAGCCGGTGTTGAGGAAGGCATGGGCTCGCGGTTCCTCGATGTCAAAGTTGGTGGTGGACTCGGTGCAGAAGGTTGAAGCACGTGCCTTGCCGCTGCTCTCCTTTGCATCCAGCTCCAGGAAGCCTTGGGCGACCTGCTTCCGTGACGTGCGCCGCGCCACCACGCTCGCGTTGAGGATGGGGCAGTCCTTTGCCTAGTGGTCGGCGGTTGCAGTTGAGGCAGGTGTCGTTGCGGTTCGCCTTGCGCTCGCCACCGGCGGCTCCTGCCTTCTCTGCTTGACCCCCACTGTAGCAATCTCCTTTCAGCTTCCCTTTCTTGCCACTGCGTGGACGCAGGCGATGCTCCTTGGACGTGCTGGAGCCGTCCCCTTCCTTCTTGTTCTGCCGAGCGAGCCACTGCTCCTTGGTGTACATCAGCTTGCCGTCGACGGCGATGGGCTCGGTGGGAGGTGCCTCATTGCGATCATCCACCGTCTTCAGTCTCCCCATGACCTCCTCGATAGTGAGATCCTCGAAGTCGAGGAGTGTCTCTATCGCGATCACGAGCTCGGAGTACTTCGGCATGGCGAGTCGGAACTTCTCCATGGCGCGCGCCTCCGTGAGGTCCTCGTCACTGTGGAGAGCCATCTGTTGCTTCAGAGTGGAGAGATGGACAGCAAAATCCTCAATTTGCTCACCGAGGCGAAAGGAGAGGTTCTCCTAGTCCTTGCGCAGCCACTACAACGTTGCTCGGCGGACACGATCGACGCCGATGTGCGCTTCAGCGATGGAGTTCCCACGCTTCCTTGGCAGAGAGCTTGTCGGCAAGGGGGGCTCCCATCTCCGGAGGAACGGCGGCGAGGATAGCCTCGAGCGCCCGCCGGTCGTCGTGGTACTCGACGCCGCCGCCATCAATGGCCTCGCAGAGCTGGTGAGCCTGCATCTTGACCTTCATAAGCAGACTCCACTCGTGGTACTTTGTCTTGGTGAGCATCGGCCACGGCGCGCCCACTCCGGGGTCCTTGTACACCATCTGGACAGTAGGAGACCCGCGATGGCCTCCACGTCCACGACGGCACTCCGGCGAAGGTGATGGAGCGCGGCGCCGGCCAGGGCTCCGCGATCCTCTGGGCTGCCTCTCCATCTCCGCTCGCAGCGCGGCAGCGGTGGCTGCTGTGGCCTGAGCTGCTGCTGCCTGCCTGGCCGCCTCGACTGCCTGCGCAGCCGCCTCTGCAGCAGCAAGGCGCGTGGCGCAATCGGCGTCCAGATCGATCACGGAGCCGGCGGGCGGCGGCGGTGTGGCGCGCTCGCTCGTTGGAGGTGGACAGGGCACTGCTCTCTCAAAACCCAGGCTCTAGATACCAATTGTTGGCCAGGTAAGACACTTAGAGTGGGGAATTTGGTTCTGCCAGAGGGCAGCTTGGCCATAGGCCGCTTATTCTCATTATATAGAGAAAGCAAACTTGGTTTACAAGGAATAGTTTAACTACCACAGCATATTCTACTGCATAAAGTAGATGCTTACTTAGATGCCAAGACAACTGGCTGATAACAGCATTACTGTAAATAGGTAAAGTAGATAACTAGATACATTAGAGAGTACCACTAGGCTTGACTCTCACTCAATTCCCCAGGGTTAGTGACATGGTATCAAAGCCATGGATTAGGGATTTAGGGTCAGGATTATACTAATCTAATTCATCCATGATCCATTTTTTTTTACCTTGAGATCCTTCTTGTTATCCTTTGCTCCTCTGTTTGTGTCCCCGCGTGGCCTGTCGCCGTACCAGTTTGTTCACGCTCGTCGCCGCGCCTGTCTGCCCATGCAGCTCATCACCGCACCATTCGCTCGGTGGCCCTTCTGTGCCTGGTCGCGCATCTCCTGTCGTGGGATCTTTCGTGGCTGCGACTCCATCCGGCCGTCTGTGGACACGTCTGCCCACCTGTCCGCCATCTTCAAGCACGGTGAGGACGCTCGGTCGTGCGGCTTCTCCTCGGTGTGTTGTCCGCACGTCCACCTGCTCGCCTGACATCTTCAAGCACGGGGAGGACGACCATTCGTGCAGCTTCTTGTTCGCAGTCTTGACTCCATCCACTAGGACTGCGTCTATGTTTGCGGACACGTCAGCGCCTGGCTCATCGTCACCTGTCCGCACGTCTCGACTCCGTCCACCATATCTGGGCACGGCCGCGCGTGGCTCGTCATCACCTGTCAGTGGGCATGTTTGTTCGTGCTTTGGTGCTCTGTTCTGTCGTTTGTTCGTGCTTTGGTGCTCTGTTCTGTCTTCGTATGTTCTGTTCGGCCCTTCCCCATCTGCCTGTGCCTCGGTGCTCTGTTTTGTGCATTGCTCAGCATATCACAATGGCACAACCCAATATCATTGTTTTTCCTATGAAGCTTGATGGTCTGTTTAACTATCGAAGAGTGGGCATTTTCCCTCAAAACTATTTGAGGGGTCATGGTCTTGCATCTCATTAGACACTCTCCTCTAGTGACAAGTGGAGGAATGGTTCTGGTCCTGTTGTAGTCACGGCTTGGACTAATGATGATGGCCGTGTCATGGGTGCCAATGTCACTAGCATGAAGCCCTCATTGATCATGGGTTTTGAGCATCATGAGTTTGCTAAGGAGATGTGGGACCACCTGCAGGGAGATATATTCAGAACAGTGGCGCTCTTTTGCTTACCCTAACGAAGGCTTTCATGAGCTTCAGCAAAATGAGATGTCCATAGAGGACTGAAGCACGCTGGCGAGTAAAGGCTCGGTAGGGCCTTGATGGGGATCGGGATCGTGACCTAGCAATTAGCGTGGGATGGGTGCAAGTTTTGGGTTTGTTTGAACCCGGTAGGTAGTTTGGGTGGGTTGGTGTAGAATAATATTGGGTGTAGAATATGATGTGGTGTAGAATAACATGTAACTCAATGATTCAATCAATCTAATATGCATGAAGGGTTCCACGCTATCAGTGAGGTCATTGAACTTGGCAGCTGGTGAGCATTGTGCCCATAGACATTGAACTTGACAGTGGCGTTGAGGTTGCTAGTGGTTTGTGTGTTGTCACCCATGGACATTGTACCATATGAATCTGATGTCACAAGCAAGGCGATTGTAAGTTGGAACATGGCATGGACTGTATTTGAAGATGGTTACAGCACGTGACCCTGGGCCGCGACAGCGTGGCGGAGCAATGACATACTTGAAGAACTAGAGATAAAAACCAATGTAATACCTGCCCAAACCTAGACGAGTCTCAGCTTATGATTACCCTGATGACAAATCTCCTAACTAATCGGCTAACTTTAAGCTAAAGCAAACTAACTAAAACTAATCTCTAAGCTAATGCTGATTCCTCTGATGCTGCTGCTTCTTTTGCACCTGTTGTACTGTAATCCCCACACGACATGCACACTATTGTCTACCTGTTGGTACACTTCCTGTCCTAAATATCTGTCCGTTTGGCATTTTGGGCACCACTAAATAGACATGGCTTATAAAGTAGTAAACATGTGTCAGTTTTACTATGAACTGGCATATACAAGTATAAGATTTTTCTTAGTTCCTCAACTGTACAAAAATGTTTTGACTTCGTTAACTCTTGGGGCAATGGAATATATGAATGGATTGCCTGATGGGTTGTATTATTCTTTGGAATGGACTGGAATCTGTGTCTCATCAATCTTTTAATATCATGCTTTTTCTTCTTTTTATGATTTGCGCCAGTCTTAGTTGATCTACATTCTCTGCTTATCCCTTCTGTAACAATTGTTTGCTGGTACGCAGGGTGGTAACTGTATGGTTCATGACATGTTTGGCCATGAGGTTGTGGGGAAAATAAAGGAACAATATTGTGATGCATTTCTAACAGCACACTTTGAGGTCCCTGGAGAAATGTTCTCTTTGGCAATGGAAGCAAAGCGGAGAGCAATGGGAGTTGTTGGATCCACTCAGAACATCTTGGATTTCATTAAGGATCATCTCATGGGAGCTCTGGACAGAAATGTAGATGAACATCTTCAGTTTGTGTTAGGAACAGAATCAGGGATGATCACTTCAATTGTTGCTGCTGTTCAGGAATTATTTGATTTGTATTCTTCTCAAGAGAGAGCAAACATTGAAGTAGAAATTGTGTTTCCGGTTTCCTCGGATGCGATTTCTAAGACATCGAATGGTTCTCATAATGTTGGTTCTTCAATGGGTACTGATTTAGATAATCTTACTATTGTTCCTGGTGTGAGTTCTGGCGAAGGCTGCTCCATTCATGGTGGTTGTGCCTCGTGCCCCTACATGAAGGTTGGTGCCACCTTTCTGTTGCCATAAATATTTTGCTACAATAGAATACCAGTACCTCACCTATTATTGCCTCGATAACAGGTCTCTACCAGTGTCATCTACCGTATCTTATTTCGCATGCAGTTTTTATTGCTAAGATGAAAAATCATTTGTAGTATGTGTTCAAATGTAGAAGTACAATATATCTATCTGTCCATAGAAAAGAGTCTCTCTGACGCTGAAAGCCAAGAAAAATCAATATTCACAAAGTTTTTTCTCAGTATTTAATATTAAATACTTTTGGGCACATATTGAATAATTCATGTTTCACCCTTCCTTTTTTCCTACTTTTGTTAGTTCATTTGGAATCCCCAAATATTCATATTCATACTACAAGTGCTGATACCATTTCCTTTCAAAAAAATCCATAATTATTGTTATGATCTTAGAATGCTCTATTATCAACAATATGTGCAGTAAATTATGATATGGTTCCTGATTAATGCTACTGAATTGTATGCAGATGAATACCCTGGGGTCGCTACTTAAAATTTGCCATCAGCTTCCTGATAAAAACAACAAATTATCTGTATATCAAGCTAACAGATTTAATGTTAAGACTCCTCTTGGAAAATCAGTTGCAGAGGTTGGGTGTGAGCCTATTCTGCATATGCGGCATTTCCAGGTCTCCCGTCGTATTGCTCTATATTTTTACCCTTGATGTTCAATTGCCATAATTTCTCTCTTCACTGCACTAAAGTACTGCTGATTTCTTATTTTTCCTCGAACACATGGGATTGCCACTGGTTTCTATTTAGTGGACATTTAATTTACAAGAGTTCCAAATCTTCCATATGCTAATGAATCTATCAAACTTTAATGTTTCATATTAACTCAGTTGTAATCAATTGCAAGAGATGCATGGATTCTCATGTAGGAAAAAATGTTAGTGGTTGTGGTGCTAATCATACTTAATTAACTCTATAACATGAAAATTAGGTTGTCCAAAAAATTCGCACAGCTCAAATGGTAAACTATTCATGAGCCAAGCTTTAGTAGATTGATTAGGTACAAGTTAAATTGAGCTAAGCTTCCATTATTGTGCTTACTCAGTCCTTTATGTTGGTGAGTCTATTCTATCTTTGTTCCATGTGATGTCTTACTCTAGAAAAATGGAAAACTAATACTTCATATTATAAAAAATTCTACCATGAGGGAGACTCCCTCAGGCATTGTTCTAATTCTAAGGTGCCGTGCTTCGAACAAGACCAGGGTCAGACAGGAGTTTCGACGACTCTTGGAGTTCAACGTTCTAACTGGTCCACCGTGGGAAGCTTGGCATCGTTTTTGTAGTGTGCAGCTTAATTTGATAAAGTCTTCATAAGCATATTTGACCTTTTGTTTCAGTTAGTACAAAATCATATCATATTAACACAATTAAGTAATAATCTAATGATATAACTCTGTGTACTAAGCTTTTATTCAATTCAAATAGTTGGTGGTCAAAATTTAATAAAAGTGAATGTAGTGAATACAATTTTATTTTAAATAATCTTGGTATTTGAAAATTAGATTCTTGTTTCTTAAAATTCAAGGCTCGTGTCAAACTGACTCATTTTTGAGATGTGAAATCTTAAACGTGTACTTATATATAAAAATACACATTCATACCTCAATGAAAAAACAATCTCTGCTGCTCCCTCTATCCACAAATGTATGCATTTATAGCATAATCCACCCCTCCTCATCTCCCCTCATTAAATTAATCTAATTATGGCCTGCCAATGTAATATTGTTGTTTAAAAATTTGATAGGGCCTGCTCTTTATGGCATTAATTTCATACTATCTATAGTCTTAGTGATTGATTGCAGGTCACAATCATTTCCTTTCTCCTTTCTCCTTCTACTTAATATCCTAAAAATCAAACAAATACTTGCATTTGTGGATGATTGGAATAGTTTCTGTAAATTATTGTAATCATGTTCCTAAGTGATCAATAAACCACTCTCTTTCTCATAAAGAAAAAAGCGCTTAGCCAATGGTTTCCCTTGAGTTTGTAGCTATCCCAACACCACACGTTTTTTAAACCGTAAAACTAAGAAAACGTTGTATCAGAAGACCACATGTTTTTCACTGTAGGAGCGAGAAATAAATATAATTTGGTCGATGGAAAAAGTGAATTAATGTCCTCTAACTTTGCTCTCGACCTCATTTTTAATAGCAGTACTAGACACTAAATTTTTTAGCCCTTTTTATGCTCTCCTTTTGTATTTTCTGGTGCCAATTATTTTTTCCCCACCATGGATGAACCAAATTTCATTAACAGCAAAATAAAACCGTACTGAACCTAAGTTGAGGCCAAGCTGGAACACAGAGGGTTCACCCAACTGTCGCTAAACAAATCACGAAACCGTCAAGTGTTTTCTAGTGCCAATTATACTGTGAATTTTACATTTCCTTCTTTCTGTTGTGACTTTGTGCTAATCTTTCAGGAAACAAAGAGGTTACCCCACAAGCTTGTTCACCAGGTTGTCCATGGTAATGGTGACGAACTCTCGTAATAGCTGTTCAACAATACTTGTATTTATTTTATCAAGGTGGTGTAGAGGATGAATATACATTGAATGCCATGTTTAGCTGGCATACCGAAGACATCTTCCGGACAGATTATTTGCCCTGTACGGTAGACATCTGGACTTGCCATGTATGTTAAACATCTCGACATCTGGCGAGCAAATTAATGTTGGATAAATGGGCTTGGTCTAATTGAGAAATTTTAATTATTCTAAATAAATCTTAAATGACTATTCATGTATGTATATGATGACCAGTGGAATTTTAGGGCCTGTTTGGTAGGTCTTTGATTTTTAGAGAGGGAAATGTTTCATATCCGAATTCTTTGGAGAAATGCCTCTCAGAACTGTTTGGTTGCTTGAAAAGAGGAGAATGTGGTGAAATAGTTCAAGAGCCCTTGAGGAGAATGTGCTACCTGGATTTCGACAAGGTGGCTCCGTCTGCTTGGAGTTGGAGGTCGTGGGACCGTTAGGGCTTGCAGGGGCAGCCCTCTCGGCGCCAGCGCCGGTGATGTTGAGGGCCACCATCGAGGGCCCTGTTGAGTTGGAGTCAGAGGTCGTGGGGTTGACGGGGCTTGCAGGGGTGGCCCTCTCGATGGTGTCGGGTGGTGACTGTTGAGGTTGGGGCACACCACCGATTGGGGGGGCGAGATGTAGGCAGGAAAGAAGATGTTGCTTGCGTGGACGGGGCGGGGAGAAGATATTGTGGTTGGGCCGAGTGTGGTGTTTGTGGCTTGGCGAGGATGTAGGCAGGAAAGAAGATGTTGCTTGCGTGGACGGGGGCGGGGGAGAAGATATTGTGGTTCGGCGTCGAGTGGTGTTTGTGGCTTGGCGAGGATGTAGGCAGGAAAGAAGATGTTGCTTGCGTGGACGGGGGCGGGGGAGAAGATATTGTGTGTTCAAGCCGAGTGGTGTTTGTGGCTTGGCGAGGATGTAGGCAGGAAAGAAGATGTTGCTTGCGTGGACGGGGGCGGGGGAGAAGATATTGTGGTTCGGCGTCGAGTGGTGTTTGTGGCTTTGGCTCTTGGCGACGGTTCGGTCAGCCGTGGGTTGGCCGTCCACCAGCTTAGGCTGCGAGTAGATAATGAGGCGGTGGCATGTATTATAATTTCTACCAAAACACATGAATGTTTTGTCTTCTCTTGTTGCTACGTTACTATCAATAGTTTCTCCATCTCAAGGGTTTGCATGCACCAGTGATTGAGAGAGTAAATCTCTTGAACAGTTCGCGCTTGCAATCTGACACCAGGAGAGGGTGAATAGTGTTTTGGGAAACAACTTAGTGTCTGCTTGCGATCTATGTGACAATGTTGTGTATCTTTGTCTCTGCCGTATGCTATTTCGACCTGTCTGCGCTAGCGTCATCAATAACATTGTCCGATAAGAGCTCCCCTCTTGCCATCTATCCTGAATCCGATTATGCGTCTTGATCGGCAAAACAAAATTCCTATTTATACTTTTGCCTTGATTTACATAGGGTTTTGTTTTTCTCTTTCTTCTTTTCCATGTTGGAGCACTTGATCACCATCTTTTGGCCATCTCTATCACATGAGTGCCACCTAGCTCCATCACTTGGACTTGGACCAACCTATCTCATAATCACACTTAGACATAGGGTTAGTCCAATAGATTTCATCAATTAGTCAAAGCCAAACTAGGGCTTTCACGCCCTTAGCGCAAAAACATAGCCGATGAGTGCTTGCAACTTCCATGAATTTTACTTTGATGGCTTTAGGACCTAGGGGGCAAGATTTATGTATTTTGGATTTACTTCATGGACGTGACAATATGGTTAATCAGCTTGCAAAGAAGGCCAAGGTGTTGGTACAATCAATGTTTCTCATAATGGTGCTATTTGAGATGTCAAGCCGATTAAACTACATTAGCATAACATTCAAGCCGAATGTGTTGTTTTCTAATTCGGCTTGGGAATATTGCAGTCCATGGAGGTGAAACGTGTTGAAGCCTTTGGTGATTCCTTACCGGTGGTACAAGTTGCTGGTTTGTTTCGATGTTCCGGAGGATCACCTTTTGCATATCTTGGCAAGTGCCTTGATATCATCGCATATTTTGCTGAATTCTGGATTCGGCATATTCCAAGGCATGAAATAGCGAGGCTAACATGTTGGCTCAACAAGCATCATGCTATGACGTTGGTGGGCATGATTTTCAAATCAAGGAAAAAGTCGGTGCAAAAAGACTAAGCTAGTACTGGTCTGCCAAAACCGGCCAAGCCGGTTCTATTGCTGTGGTTGCAGGTGTGCAGGATGAATCGGCTATGCCGGTTCTAGAGGCTGGCTAGGCCGGTGTTCTAGGGGATTCTCCAAATCGTCTCGAAGTTTTCTCCGGTGAGCTTAGGGTCGATTTGGATGATTAGAAGACTTGCATTATAAATTATCCATGATCCAAGTGTTGAGGTTGAGAGTATTTGACGAAGTATATTTAAGTTCTTGCACATGAGCTATATCAAAGAGCTGCCGAAAACTTGTTGCTTAAGTGCTTGGATTTTGATCAAGCAAAGGTTTTGCTATGGGAGACATTCATGTCATCAAAGGGGTACTGCTTTATGCTGGGAGTTGCAAATTACTTTACAAAGGACGTTGCAAGGTGATCGTCTATCGAGAAAAGTCCAAGTGATGCCCAAGCAAAATGGCCGATATACTCATATCGCTCTTAGAATAATATGGCCGATGTATACATCACCCTTAGATGCTGGATAGCCGATGAGTTGGACATCGTTTCTATTTGTTGCTTTTACGTTTTCATGTTTACATAAACCTCACCTGAAAAAGTGGCCAAAGTATATCATGGATTCTGTCGTCATGTTTCTATCGTCGAGACAGTCAGAAAACATATTTGGATCATCTCATTTGGAGCTCAGATGAAGAAAACAACGTTTTGGGGGCTGACAGAGCCGAAACCGGCCTGGCCGGTTCCCAAAAAACAGGCCAGGCTAGATTTTCTAGCTTTGTCAAATGTAAGAATGGATTGCACCATTGTGTTTCTTCGTTGAGCTAATTAAAAAAACATATATGGATTGCCCGTTTGGAGTCCGAATGAATTAATTAAAATTTTCGGAAGATTTTCTACATTGGACGCCTGTCTGGCCCCTTGAAAACCGGCCTGACTGGTTTGGGACCCAGCCAGAGCGGTTTTCCTGTCCTATTCCAAATCGATTGGTTTCCAAATCAGGTTTAGATCTATTTTTGGCGTGGGACACTTGAGATTACGTGTTGGATTTGTTTCCTATTGAGAGAAGACCCCTTTATATAAACGAGAGGATCACATGGTCGATTGAGACATCCAACATCCAATCATTTTTTTAATTCTACTACTCTTTTTGCCCTCTTCTAACCCTATGTTGTTGTTCATCGCTTGGTCCAATGATCAAGGATGGCGCCCTAGACTTGATGGCCGATCTAAAGTAACCCAGCGATGTTCTTATCCTTATGGGGTCCCTCCTGGACGACGCTTCGGTTCCTTTACTAGTTTGCCTAGAAACTAGCTATTCTTTGTCACACATGCACGATTGGTTACCCTATGGTGGTTTGTTCGCAAAGCTTGCGTGCTTCACCCAGTAAGTGTGATATCCTTACTGCATTCTTCGGTCCGTGACGACCCGAACGATCTAGCCCTAGTTAGTATGTGATCCAATTCGACATTAACAGGGCTCACGATATTGGGTGTCAAAAAGTTAACCACAATACCCACGATGTTGGGTGTCAAAAATTTAACCAAAATAGAGCAGTGTTGTTGGAGTTATTCCTTGATGTTTGCATCAGCTTGTGCACCCGATTAAAATGACTCAAATCAAGCTTCTGCACCCGATTATATAGAATATATTATATGTCGGTTATATACTCGTATGATATCGATTCAATGTTGAATATTATTGTTTTCCGGACTACTTCTATACGTTGCTCGCTGCAGTTGAATTGTATTCATTGTAACTTATGTGTTATAATTCATTACAAATTATGTATTACAAGTGTGGTTTATAAATGTGAGTTACAAAATAAATCTTACCAAAAATTATTAGATTGCTTAATAGTGATCTATAGTTTCAATGATGGCTGTATATCATGGAATTCTTTTTGCTTGTGTGTTCATACGTCATGAGATTCTACATATGTTTTGCCCGTAACAACGCATGGACACTGAATTAGTACTTCTATAAAGCCAGCCTCACTTATGTTTACCATACAATTACTATCTTTTTATGCAAAATATCCACATGAACAAGTCATATCCACTAATATGTATTTAGTTGTCGACATTAGCAGTCCACATCATCCACTGATTCATTTATGATTGTCTCTCTTTATACAAGCTAAGTTATCCATACTAACAAGTAAAATACCATCCAATTTCCAGTCAAACCATATCCATCCTTCAACATTATCTGTGATCCACGCAGCAAAGTAGGGCATCTGTTCAATAATTCGATAATGGAAGGAACCTCCCATCTACCAACGCACAATGTAGGAACAAGATACAAGCAAACAACAATTATCCTCCATTTTTTCTACGGCTGATTTATTAAATTAATTCACACTACATCATTAACAGTCTAATAGAGTTTTATTTCAGAGGATTCTACTCCTAGCATGTGCTTCCGTTAAACCTAGTACCACCCCAAAAATAATTAGTACAATTTTACTCTCGTGTCAATGGGCCTTCGACAGATGGGGCAATCTGCGACTTGCGGTCCACATTCCGAACATGTCTGCATGAAAAGAGAAACAAAAAATCAATTAAAAATCTTGAAGAAAGAATTATGTATGAAGCATCAAATATACAGTGAAGTGTTGCACGTTTCACCTGGTGACCACAACCAAATGCCATGTCCCGGGGTTTGGAAAGGCAAACTGGGCACATCTACAGAGAGTAAGACCAAGAATTTGTAATTAGATACTGTATTAGTTAAATAACAATAAGTCGACCCATGCACCTGTAATGTAGCAGAAAATCTACACCGTTCCTTATTA